GAGCGAGCTCCTGGTGTAGAATCCTGGCTACTAGATTGTGTCTGTGCAAATACTCAGAGTTAGAAAGCGCCGAACAACCGGAGATGACATGCCTAAGTGACTCACCGGGATGGCGACAAGCTCGACAGATGTCGACGGCGCCATCCTTTAGAATGTATCTCCGATAATTGTTGGTCTTAATAACCTGATCCTGTATTGCACAGACAAAACCCTCGGTTTCCCCAAAGAGGTCACCGAAACGTAGCCAGTGAAGGGAGGCGACTGTGTCTACGAAAGGCTCATGTAGAGCCTTGTAGAACCTCCCGTGGAGCTCCTTCTCCTTCCATACGGCCTCCCGGTCGGAAATGCACTGTACTGCTGGGTCTTGCCATTGCTCGTTGGCTAAGGATAGAGGGGTCAGTCCTTTATCACAAGAAATAACGTCCCTATAGTATGGATCATCCGCTCTCGTCAGAGAGTAATTACGGAGGCTGCACACTTCGCGATTATGCATGGTAAGCGCGCTTAAAAAGCCGCGCCCACCATGCTTCCGCGGCAAGTACAGCCTCATTACTGACGATCTCGGATGATGCATCCTTATCCTCATTATTATTATTATTATTATTATTATCGTCAATATGGTCACACTAGTTCAGTGCAATTTCTTTTAAACAAAAACAATAAAATTGTTCAAACTTAATTAAATTCAATGTAAAACTATTTGATCTTGACAAAGTTATAATTTACTAATATGTTTAAAACACTGATAAAACATTTCATCAAAAAATTAAGTGAAAATACAAAAATTTATGTTTATAAGTATTCAATGCCAGAAGTCACTATTTAAGCACTTACGTGTGAAATCATACATCACCTCCTGGTCACCAACTACTGCCGCAACCACGTACTACACAAGTTTGCACCATTTCTTGAATTATAACAATAATTAACTTTAAATACTCAAACGACGCTGTGAACTGCTAAGTAAACAACCGCCATATTTGTCTAATTTATGTTGACATATAGGGCTAATGTTGCCACATTACCGAACCCTTAGGAAATGGGATTGTAATTCACTGATTCGTTAACCCAATAATGCATACGAGACCTTCAATTTTGGAATTTTTAATGTAACTAATCGTAGATCAACTATTTATTTATTGGTACATTATTTTACAGAGCTTAACTTCTGAGTTAGTTAGTGTGGAAATTATTTCTAAGAATTTACCGGGAGATTCAAATAAAAACATAGCAATATTGTGTTCCACACTAAAAAGAGAAGTCAGACCACAGAGAGTGAGATAAAGATACGTAGTTTAGTTTAAAGTTTTTTTTAATTATTTGACTCGAGCTGTTGTTCCAAGTGTGGCCTCCATCTTTATCTATAACTTCATGACACTCTATGACATTCTATGACTATAATACGTTAGGAGCAGTGGCACTGAAGCACTGACAAGAGTTGTTTTCTTTTTATTTAGTAATGTAATGTAAACGGTAGTTCTAATGTCAAGTAATAGGAAATTACCTTTACCTATAATATGCACATGCACCATATTGGAAATTTTTGGTAGATTTCAACGGCAATTTAAGCTAGCCGATGTCAACATTATCTCAAATTAAAGACGCCTAAGTGGACAATATAACTTATTATATCGACATCTGGGACACTTGTGAATTCCACAAAGTTCAAAGGCACACCAGTATTGAAGTGAAAATTTTTACGGGAGGGCTTTGAAATTCTGATCCGCAACCTTTTTGTGTGACGAAAAGTGGGGGTAAACACTAAGTACCGTGTCATTTGGATCGATCATTCAAATCGCAAACGTAGACCATTACACACCATAAAGTAATACAATTGAAATAACAAGATTACAACGGTCTTCCGTTTGAATACTAATCTTATATTAATTTTGTTTAAAACAATTACCAAGGTACACGTATTTATTTTAGAAAGAGTGATCGTATTTAAGTAATAGCGCATCTACTACATTTTCCACATACCATACCATGAGAGTTAATCAATTTTGGTTCGATAAATTTACTTTACTTATAGAATGAAGTAGATGGCGCTTTAAAAAAAATTAATAAACAGTGATATGAATAATAGAAATGTTTTCCTGTAATACAAAAGTTTCACTTCTATCGTGTTTCTTCACGACACACACTGTTTTTTTTTTACTTTGTTTTGAAGAGAGTTTTGATACGTAATTAGTGTGATTTGTGTATTGAATTAATGTCTACGCGGGAGAACTGCTATACTGTTTAGGGACTGTAGGGAAGTGTTGGCGGAACCTATAATTCACAATTATAATCTTTGCATTGAGTCAGCGGTGTTTCCAGAGAGGTAGAAAATAACACGAGTCGTGCCGGTGCCTAAGAAAGGTTTAACAACTAAAGTAGAGGGACACAGAACTATAGCTGTCCTATCAACATGAGGCGAATATGTTAGAGTCTGCTATGCATAAGAATGTACTCTCACAGGTAAGCGCTCAACTGACAGATGCTCTGCATGGCTGATATCGTGCCGTGCAGTTAGTGGACACTGGGGTGCAAGTGGAAGTCACTTATTTTGATTTCAAAAAATCTTTCGATTTGGTGGATAACGACGTACTACTTAAAAAGTTAGCAAGCAATGGTTTTACTCTACACTTACTACAATTGTTTGACGGTTACATGAGGAACAGGCACCAATATCTGGAATACGCTGGTTTAGTATCGAAGCCATATTACACTCGATCTAGTCTGAGTCAGGGCAGCAATCTCGGTCCTCTCGAGTTTACATTAATGATAAACGATCTGCCGAGTGTTGTGATTGACGCTAAATGTTTGCTCTTTGCTGACGACTCAAGCTGTATCTACCGACCACAGAACGGGAGGTCTATGAGAGGTTACAACGCAACATTGACAGGGTGGTAGCATGGTGTGAGTATAATAAGTTGCAGTTTAATTCATCTAAGTGTGTAACGCTAACTTTTACTCGCGACGGCAATCCCGTGCTCTTTAGGTATGCGCTGGATGGAGTAGCTATGGCACAAGTGGACGAGGTTAAGGATTTGGATGTTCGTTTCACCTCAGTACTTAATTTTTAAAATCACATAGCGGACATCTGCAAGAGAGTGTATCGCACCTTAGGTTTAATACTGCGCAGGGCTCGTTGTTTCACTAACATTAAAGCAATTGTAGCATTGTATAACGCCTTAGGAGCCAGCTTGAGTGCAACGCGGTTATCTGGGTTCCACGTGAAACTAAATTAATATAGTCTTATGCTGGAGAGAATTCAAAACAAATTTATTAGGTTTCTATATTTCAAACAGTTTGGGGAATATCTTATTTACCCACTTAAATATCCAACCTTATTCGTTTTAGGTATAGCAGGAAATAATGAACTCCGTGTTAGGTGGGACTTCGCACTGGTATCATATATTTTCCAAGTAATAAGAAGAAATATAAACAATCCTTGTTTTTCGGAGGGTATATATTTGAATGTCCCAGAGCAATACGTATGGCGAAGGCGGCGGTCACGGCTGCTGTTGGTGTCGTGCATCCACACCATATTGCTGAGGGAGGCGCCGCGCACTCGCGCCACCAGACTACTTAATCTTATCTATAAGAAGGTTGACATATCCGTATTCTGTGGGTAAATTTACAAGGGCTGCATTGTGTATAATATGTTACAATAATTTAAATGTTTACTGTTATCACTAGCATATTAGGTTAGGTCATTAAATGCTGTAATGTTACCGATAAGTTTGGCTGATAAATAAATAAACTATTAGTGGAGACGATGTCATAAGTACATTATAGTGACACAAATCTCAATTTTTTTAGATACTTATAATATTCTCTATCTCATTAATTATACACACATTTATCCACCAAAACTCTGTGAAATCCTTTTATAATTAAATCAAATTCGATTTTGTTCTACTCATATCTAGTCACATTTTTCGCTTTTACATCAAATATGGCTGTATGGTATAAGACCATTGCTTGCATTAATTGGCAAAACTTAACAATAACGAACCTTCAATCACTCATTTTTTTTTGGAGTTTATGGCCTGGTATCTAGACCTTTAGGCCAAGTCTTAAGTATTTTTATTCGGTTTATTGTAATTTCCCCACTCCTTCATAGTATACTGCTTCACAATATGTTGATGCGTCACATTGTGCAGTTCTTGGGAGATTTTGGCGGCAACTTGATTCAGCAGACAGCTGATAGTTGGCGATGGTATCTAAAGGTGCCTATGCAAACAAACAGCTTATCTTGAGAATCCATCACCATCAGAGCACTTGTTTCACTGTTTCCACTAATAGTTCACATGCGTAGACACTTAATACACAAAATCGCAACACTTTTACATATCAAAGTCCACTTCAAACCATTATTTAAACAATAATACAGGAGCAGCAAACCGCCGCCGGTCAATTTCCCGCCAAAACCCCTTCAATCACTCACATTACGCGCAGTGTTGCCAATTTAGCGACTTTGTCGCTAGCAGGGACGACTTTTGTTTGTCTTATAGACAAAAAATGGTTAGCGACTTATCTGACAATATTTAGCGTAAAATCATAACAATTTGTAGGGCCAGTAATAGATAATTTTTTTTTGTTAACTCGACACAGAATTATATATTTATTTCTTATTCTAATTAGAATTCTTTTTATTTCAAATGCAATTGCATGTTTCTAATATTTCTAGAAAATTGTTATGGTGAAAAAAAATTGTGATTATTACGTAAAATTTAAATTATAATTAAATTACCACCACTAGCCTTGTGCCCTCCTAGAACAAAATCCTGACTCCGTTCCTTGTAGAATCAGTTTTAGCGACTTTTGATATTGAGTCTAGGGGATTCAAATTTATAGAAGTTGGCAACACTGGTCAGAAGTCAAATCAAAAGAAATTGGTCTAAAGGTTGAGATACCAGGCCATAAACTACAAAAAAAAAATTAAAACAACTTCTATACTCCCTCTACGCTTCTACACTACATAATACATATTTATTTATCTATGGTTATCAAAGTGAGCACGTTTTACGCCTGTCCTGTGTATTGTTTATTTACGTGAAGGAGGTTATTTATTATCAAATTATTTGAAGTACCTGTTTAATTTACTCAAATTTAATCTAATACAGCCTGTTTGAAAAAACCGTAGTAGGATATAAAAAAATGGTAAGCCTAAAATTTCACTCAAAATTGTGATAAAAAAAGAAAAGGTTTGAATAATTGTTTAATAATTGCAGGGGAAGCAACGTAAAACAAGAAAGATTGTTGAAAAAAGATTTGCAAAAATGAAAAAGCTTATAAGTCCGAGTGATCCACGCATAAAGGCAAGCGAGCGTTCAGATCCAAAAAAGAAGAAACCAACTGATCCACATGAAATGAAAATTCGTGAAGTTCCACAAGCGAGTTCGGCTTTGTTTTTTCAGTATAATACGCAATTAGGTCCTCCCTACCATATTCTCGTTGATACTAATTTTATAAATTTTTCAATTAAAAACAAATTGGATATTGTGCAGAATATGATGGATTGCTTATATGCAAAATGTGTCCCATATATTACGGACTGCGTTTTAGGTGAATTAGAAAAATTAGGTAGAAAGTATCGTGTGGCCCTAAGAATAATAAAGGACCCTCGATTTGAAAGAATAGCTTGCCTTCATAAAGGCACATATGCTGATGATTGTATTGTTCAAAGAGTTACACAACATAAGTGTTATATAGTAGCAACTAATGACAAAGATTTGAAAAGAAGAATTAGGAAAATACCTGGAGTTCCTATAATGTATGTGGCTCAACATAAATACACAATTGAAAGAATGCCTGATGCATATGGTGCCCCTAAGGGAGCTATTTAGATGTTAAGGAATAGTACACTTAAATTAAAATAATAATAAATAACATATATTTTATTCTAAGTCTCTAATAATATAACCCTTTGTATATAGTTTTTGCTAAATGACATTTTTAAAATTGTTGTTTGACCTATATTTTATGGGATTTTGTTTTAAAAGCTTGCGTGCAACTAAAAATAATGAATTATTTTTTTAGAAATGAATTACTAATTCTGTGGAGTCTAGTAACTGGCATTACAAGTTTGGGTTTGTTGGTAGTATTTAAAGTATGAATATTCTTGTTTTTATCAAAACTTTGTTCATCACCAAAGCGGGGTATCAATCATATTATTGAGGAAACAGTTCACACAATTGTTCCATAGTGGCTCTTGCAGTGTGGGAAGTGGGACCATCCTGCTGAAACCACGTCCGTGAACTGTAGGCAGGATGTTCTCAAAGCTAGTGTATAAAATAACTGGATAACATTTGCCTATATGCCTCACTAGTAGTAGTTACCGTATCACCTCTCACATTTTAAAAAAAACACGGACCAGTTATTCTGTTTTCCGACAGAGCGCACCACACATTATTGGGCTATGCAGCAGTGTTTGATGTTTTTGTCTGGGATTAACAGGTGACCAGAAACGATAATTTGTTTTATTCACATATCCATTTAAATGAAAATGTGCTTCATCACTCCAAAACACATTATTCAAAGTGCAAAATCTCTTAATGACTGTCTGGCAAAAACATGCACATAAATTGTGGTCATTTTCCGTTTCCGGTCATTTCCCTGCACTATTTGGATTTTATTGGGATAGAATTTCAAATTGTACTTCCAAAATCCACTCTACGGTTGATTTGGTGTATTGATAAGCGCGGATTGTGACGAACGCTAGCAGCAACTTCGTTTATTGCTTCTTCCATCCTTGAAGTTCTGCTCGGGCCCGGTCGTGGTTGATTTGTAGTGGAAGCAATTGCTTGAAACTTCTGTACCCTTAACGAATCAAGTTTTTGCTTAGTCCATCTCGTAAACGTCTAACATTGTAGTGGGAACAATACTACCTCTGTGTTCACTCAAGTTATAATATACGTATTAAGTAATCATCAGCCTGTGGCAGTCCACTACTGGACATAGGCCTCGGGTCTTCGGCTATACACGTCCAATTCCTACCTTGCGAAGATTGTTGCTCCATTTAGTCAGGGGGCATCCCACATTATGTCCTAGACGCGGTCTCTACTCTGTAATACGTCTGCTACACCAGTCGTCACTTTTAAAAAGTCCAATGCCACTTCAGCTTTAAACATGGAAGGGTGTGTCGGTAATGTTGGTTCCTCAGCAGATTTATTCATCACGAGTTTTATCCACCACAGAAATTCCTTATAAATATCAAATAATAATTGATATATAAAATATAATTTATATTGGTAAATAGTATAAAAACAATTTTCAAATACTTGACACTGGCAATAGTGTACTAAATCCTTCGAGCCTACAACCAAAAGGAAAAAATTGCAATGGCGTTGGTATAAAGTATGTATTATAATCACTACATTTTAATATAAGTTTTAGTTACTATGTAAACATAGTTATCTATAGCATAAAGGGTTTATTTGACACAAAATGAGAAAGTTAAAAGTTATTGAGTAACAAAAACAAGTTAACACAGTTCATATGTTTATAATTTGTAGAATTAGACTTACAATATATACCTAATATTATACAAGTAATAATAGAGAATTTCATCCAAAAATAAATTTTCATCCTAATTGTTGGATAACCATTTTCAGAGTAGAATCAGGAAATAGGCGATATTTTACTTCCATGCTTTGGATGCCACTGCATATAGGACTGTCACATACTTATTTAAAGAAATATATCATAATTGCATCAAAACCACCACAATGCAAAAGTAAATCTCTTCTATATGACAACGACTGGCAAACACTATTTTTTATAATTACTAAAGAATATAGGGTCACTACAAAAGCAAAAGTTCCACCCCTCTAGAAGTGTTTCAATAATGTAGGCTGTTGCAGTGCTCCTTTTTGTCCAACCCAGAAAAAATATTGGCTATGCTTATGCAACTAGAAATAGAAACAAATTTACATGAAGGATAGTATATCTAGTGTAATAATTTGTTTTGTTTCACAAAAGTATTGGCTAGATCTGACATTCGAACCCAGGACCTGTTACTTATTAATCAGACATTCTGGCTTGAAAGCAATTTGAATATGAGATCGCTATTATAATGTACGATCTAAAACATAACAAAGACAATACTAGATGGTGTTATTTAATGCGCCCGGCGAACCAACGACATCAATTATTTCACTAAGAGGTTTCACATCTCCATCACCTGACGTATTGCAAATTGACGGTGGGATTGTCAGTGTCTGGAATGAAAACCAGTTTAATTAAACATTAATAATTATAAGAGTAGTGTTACAACTACTAAATTTTTTTAAATAATACATATATTTAATAAATTTGGTCATGGTTAAAATAAAAAGAGCCGTGCAACGGCTGCTTGTTGTGTAACCTGATTTCGTTAAAAGTTAGAAAAATTTATCAAGTGCGATAATGCACGGGGTAGTTGAAAACATTTTTATGTTCTGACTTGTCTATATAACAGGAAAAAAATAATTACCACACTCACCATTCTTTTTTTTTTAAACACGTTACCCCCACACTAGGTTTCTCTCCTATATCGTGGAGGCAGTTTACAAACACAAATTGCACAAAGCCAAATATCCAGTCCCGGAACTATTATTTGTAGGCCATACAAATACTTGTTCCGTGCGGGATTTGAACCCGCGGCCCCGAGCGCAGCAACTCATTACTGCGCCACGGTGCCGTCAACCGTCAACCACTGCCAGCTGCCACTGATTGGTAAGCTCAGAGCCGAGATGTCCTCTGCTATGTCTCATCACCAGTCAGTAATAATTTTTTTTTTAGAATTTAAGTTGCATTATATAAAAGCTAAGGAGGACAGAACCTACGAGAGACAACTTTAGAGTAATGGTCTCCATGTGCTACTGTTGGGCCAGGCTCCTGTTTATTTTGAGGTCAGAGAAGATTCCGCCGTGTTAACCCAATGCGTGTTGCCGAATTTCATATGCTCTTGAAATATTTTAGTTATTCAGACATGCTCCTTTTCTTGGGATTTTTTAATGTGTTGAATTTTTAGTGATAAATCAACAGTAAAAGTTGGCAATTATTAATTTAAATTGTGCCTTCAGAATCCGAACTATCCCCAGATAAGTTCGATCAGTCCCCTAGCTATATTACAAAACAAAGTTAAATTACTAATAGCGGTTTATAGAACATAATTATTTTAAAACATCTATTGTTGATATCCCACTTTTTATTTAATGACAACTGTACTTGCATGTCAGATAAGTAGATTTTTATATGTGGTAGAGCCATGCTGCAGCTATATTATGGTTGTAGCACGAATGGGTCGGCTCAACCGGGGAAGGACCACGCTCTCACAGGATAACTTAACGCTGCTGTGTTTCGTATGGTGAGCGTAGGGAACCGGAGACCCTTTTTACTGGAAACAAGGCATTCCATCTCTGTCTTCACGGGTGACAACGCATCTGTATTTTGATTCGTAATCGAAGATAGATGTAGATGTTTATGGGCCACAGCAACCACTTACCATCAGGCGGACTGCGTGCTCGTTTGTCACCCTTATACTATAAAAAAAAGAAAACAATAGATATTATATAGTGCTTTTGCTGCACTTTAGTACTGGATATCGTAATCGCTACGCTCAGTATTGGTATTGATATTCGGCGATCAGACACCTTACAGAAATTATAGGTTTAGATGGGATAATTGATTAATTTGATCTTTTGTAATACACGAATGTTATACTTATTACGTACCTTCGGGGAAAAACATTACGGGAAGTGATAAGCGATGTTGTAGAATTTAAATATTTGGCATAAAAAGTTAATCACAGACAGTAAATACCTTTCCAGGGTTTAGAGCCTCATACTGATGCCTTAAAGCTTGTAGTTCGAATTCACACGATGTTAGAGCATTCTTCAAATCTAAAGCCAAAGCAAGGTCTGAGCGGAGTTCATTGAAGTGTTTGCAAATGGCCTCGGATGGAGTTGGCGCTATATCTAAAATGAAAGGATAGCAAAGGATGAAAGATTTGTTAATATTTCTTTTATTAGATATATTATCTGTTATAATTCTTAATTTAAATTAGTTTTAATTTTCTCGAAATAATTTAATAGATTTGCTCTTCAAAATTTAATAAAATTTGAAATTGTTAACATGTTAAAGAAGAATGATATTAGGATATTTTGTTTATTGTTTATTTTTGAAAACATGTACATACGGAAAAAAATATTTTTTTTTAATAATAAATGGACTGTCGTGTAGAACATGTTGAGTTGCTACAGTAAAGGTATAAAATTCTAAAAATATGTAAAGTGCAATAATCTGATATAAAATAAAATCTTTAAGGAAATTCTGTCAAAAGAGGCCTACTATAAAATAAATCAATGTATTGAGGTACAAGTCCCTAATAGACCCCAGAGTTTCTTGTCGGTTCTTCTCTAAACAGGCCTTCTTTTCCCAAATATTTTCATATGCAAATACATATAACTCTCTAATTACAGCGTTAATGCATATTTTGGCAAAAAAATAATAATCGTTTAGTAGCGGGAGGTACGTATAGGGACCTAGGTGACGAAGACGTGTCACTGGCTGACTGAACTAACTGGCCAAATTTTAAATTTTGTCCAATAAAGTCATTTGATGTGGAGGTCGTTTTCGGCGTACATATTGATACTGGGTGACAAATGCCACAAATTTGCGCTCGAAAAGTTGGGAAAATACTTAATTGTATATTATCATAAAGACTATGCACAATTTTTAAGAACATTTCGCTGTTTTTGTACTGTATTTAATTGAAATATATAAAAATATTTTTTTTATATATTTCAATCAAAATTACAATAAAAAAGTTTATTGATTTTGCATTGTGCATATTTTGGGCATATCAACAGTTTTAAGTGCATCTTTCGGCATTTTAGTGCATATTTGCATGCATATTTTGGAACTTTGTTAGTGCATATAATCCGATGTCTAGTTATTACTGATACTAAACAACAGTCTGTGTAATGGTGTATTCCATTTTGTGGAAGCAGTGGGCCAGCGTGGTACAAGCAAACATTACTTTATTTTTTTTAATGTTTTCTGTTTAGTTGTACACTATATACTCGTAGAATAGACTAAAATATGAGTTGTGATCCATTATGTATCAAAACTCACATGCATATGCTATCAATTATCATTATTATAGTAACTAGAACTAACTTTGTTGTCTTTCTGTTTACACGCTAAGTACAAGAACGCGCTCATTCAGAAAGATAAAATGAATATTATAGTGATATAAAAAGCAAAAAACATTATATAAATTTTTGTTTGCTTTTCAGCATCATTTTGACAATTACATTTTATTTGGTAATGGACTTGCATTATGAGCACCGATTTAGTCTTATAATAATTTGTTTACAAAATTGTATTATGATGCATCACATTGTAAATTTTTGGTAGAGCCACGCTGCAGCTATATTATAGTTGTAGCACAAATGGGCCGGCTCGACCGGGGAAGGACCACCCTCTTACAGAATACCAGCGTAATATAGCAGCTTAATGCTGCTGTATGATGAGCGTAGAGAACCGGAGATCCTTTTCACTGGAAACGAGGCATTCGAGGCATTCCTCTGGGGTAACAATGCAAATCCATTCAGGTTCATAATTGAAGATAAATGTAGATGTCTATAGGCCACAGCATCCACTTACCATCAGGTGGACTGTATGCTCGTTATTCACCCCTATTCTATACAAAAAAAATTCTGAGAGATTAATGATGAGTGAGTTGAGGATAAAAGGAAAATTACCGATATTCATAAGTCTCAATTCCTGTTCAATGGCTTTTGTCTTCCTTTGCCCAACTCCAGGCGGTAACTTCATGCGTTGCGATCTCAACCATACACCGGCACCTCGTGTCTCTGGAAACTTTATACCGGACCATTCTACCGTCTGAAAATTATTGGCGTGTATATTAATTAATGATGTTATTAATTGATTTTTTTTAATTTACATATATTAAAAATTACAAAAGTACATCATTAATTACAATTGCAATACAGTGAAACCTGGTTATGTGGGACCTGGATAACTGAAAAACCTCTATTATTGAGAGTTGCAATGAGGTCCCGGTTCTTTTTCATTAAATTCCCTCAGTTAATGGGACTTTTTGGCCCTGGTTAAATGAGATTTGAATTCTAAGAATTTTTCGATGTTTACCTCTATGATTGAGACTCTCAGCTCAATTACCAGTGAGACAAATTAATCTGGTTTTAACACATTTTGACATGTTTGTTTACATACATTTCGCGTCGTCTTTCGCGCATGCTTTGTTTGTCAGTACGGGGGGTAAATGAGACAACTATAATTTAAATCCGCTTAATTGGAAAACTGGATTATTGGAAACCCTCAATAATTGGTACATATGTCTTGGTCCCTTGAGATCCCAAATAACCAGGTTTCACTGTATTTATATATAGTTTTCATTATATTTTTTGAAGTGAAATCTTTAGAAACATTGTGAATTTGAAACTGGATGAAACGAAAAAGCTAACAGTACTACACTAAGAGACAAACATATACATCTATAGGATTCAGCCTACGAGAGAATGAGAATACAGTATAAGGTGTTTATTAGAAATTGATTTATATTTTTTCGTCTCATTCTCTCGAAGTTTAGTTTTCTGAAAGTTTCACTTCTATCGCGTGTGAACTGCACACATGTTATTTATTCTTTTTACCTATAGAATACGCACCACAGTTTCCACTGCACGAATAGGTCTCTGTTGTGAGGCTAATTTTTTCTTATGGAGTTTCCTATCATGCCTCCTCGCAATGCTGGATGATACCGCAGAAGGAGTGCTGATTCCTTCAGTTTGTACAGCTGATTGACATGTTGGTAGACCATTACCACTGTCTGCCCTTGAAATCAGTTTCTGTAAATCTTGAGTTTTTCTTTCTCTTTCACGCTTTCTTGCCTCAATTTTTTTGAGCTCAGCCAGTAACATCTGTTCTTCATCAATCTATAAAACATATTATTGAACACTTTTTATCACTCTGCTGTTTCGTTTTATAAATATTAGTACAACAATATCTAGTACTGTACTGTACTGACCAGTAGTATTGGTAGTAGACTTTTGTAAGGATTGTTTTAAATTTGTAAAATCTTTTTTAATTAATGATCCATTGTATGCTGTTCTGTCATCATGGATTCTGTGTTTAGTGTACCTAGGTACCAATTATCATCAAATTTAAAAGTTATCATATTATATTCAGATTTTTAACAATGTTAAAATGATCATGCTATTATCACCTATAATCCCATAAAAACATTGCGTTGTTACATAAAGACCAGAAAATATCCTTATTTATCAAATATAGTTTGTGAATAATGAAATTATGCAATGTTTACTGAAATATGTACCTAGAAAGTACAAATATTTTTATACCTGTTCTTGTGTTCTATCAAACAACCGACGTAACTGTTCCTTTCTCTTCCTTTCGTGTTCTGCGTCATAGTGATAAACTCTTTTTTCACCATTTACCATAGTTACAGTATTTGACCAAGGATTTGTTTTCACCTGTAAAATAAATCTTATAATTTACAGCATGATGTGTTTGCAAAATTATAGTTACATCAATCCATTTTATTCTATAATATGAGTCAGGCAATGGCAAAATGCTAAAACTCTTGTACGCCTAAAATTCTTATTGCTGGGAAGCAAAACTCAAGGTGAAAGTCATCAGGTGCTGTAATCACAAAAATCCAAATCACAAATCAGCAGTGCACTTTAAAAGTCAATGAGAATGAAATTTTTTAAAATGAAAAAATACAGAAGATAAAATGTAACATTTATTTACTTTTATTATAACACAGACTGACCATTGACACTTCAAGAATATATATTTTTATATTATGAAAAATTTAAAAAGTTTAACTTTGTATATCAAAGGCATGGCAAAAAAAGCCATCAATCATCATGTGTTGTAGTGAAACCACAACACTGATTTGTAGTGTTGACAGATAATCTCGAAAAATACATCCCCAAGAAGTTAGTAGCTTGTTGTTGTTAGTTAGTATACGATGGGCTGTTTTCCGCCACTCCACGTCTAAGCGCGTATTTTGCGAGTCGGCAGGAATGTTATGATTATTTGAGCCATGAAATCTCAATGAAGAAACAACCCCAAGAAATAATTATTATTGAGACCTTTTCACAAAGAGACGATGCTAGAAGCAATATGCTACCTAATCATGTTTTGACATTGTAAGACATGAAGCAATCTATATATGCAACTTAATATTTTTTGTTTATAGGATAGGGTGACAAGCGAGCACACAGTCCACCTGATGGTAAGTGGTTGCTGTGGCCCATAGACATCTACATTTATCCTTGTTTGCGAATCAAAATGCAGATGCGTTGTCACCCATGAGGACTAAGATAGAATGCCTCTTTTCCAGTTAAAAGGGTCTCCGGTTCTCTACACTCACCATACGAAACACAGCAGCAAGCTGCTATTTGACGCTGGTATTCTGTGAGAGCGTGGTCCTTCCCCGGTCGAGCCGACCCATTCGCGCTACAACTATACTACTAATATAGCTGCAGCATGGCTCTACCACGTAAATATGTTAAAAATATGTTGGGTTGACCAGGCAGGGACTACACTCCCACAGAATATTGCTATGTTTCATTTGGTGAATGACATGAACCATAACCTTTTTATATTATTACTAGCTGGCCAGGCAGATGTTGTTCTACCCTCTTCGATGACCCTTTGGCCTATAAAAATTCTTAAATTCGTAATAAAAAATATTGAGGGTCCCTTATCAAGATAAAAACTATCCTATCTTTCAAGTTGGGCCAAACTGCACACAGTGTGCAAAATTTCAATGAAATCAGTTCAGTAGTTTAGGGAGTTCATTGCGGACAAACAATGTGACACGTAATTTTTATATATAAAGATTATCATGGATGTATGGATGTTTGTTATTCTTCTATGCAAAAACTACTGAATATATTTTAATTAAACTTTATAACAATATAGCTCATACATCAGAACAACACATAGGCTATAATTAATAAAGATATTGTGTAGTATGGTCAAGTGTTAAGTAAGTCTAAAAAATCTGTCATCTGTGAGCTATTTTGGAATGCGGTGCAAAAACTGTGTTACACAAATATAATGTATGGTGGAGTTGTTTCTCCTAAATAGTTTTACAAAAAAGTCCATGACAGTATACATCTTTTAACAGGAAGCCATTATTACTAAAATAGGGAACCATAAATAAGATAAAATTTGATACTTTATTTTCAATGCACATTTTGCAGTAACAAATGGATTTTCAAAGATTGATTCTGATGTTCAAAGTAGATAAACTTTGTCTTTTAAACTACGCAATTTGGTCAAATATTTTAAAAGTAACGGCATACTGCGGGTGAGGTGAGGGAAAACCTACGTTGCTCATTGTAGCGTGAGTAAATGTACCTCTTTACGCTTAAATCACTGAACCGATTTAGAATGAAATTTGGTATTGAAATACTTTAAGTCCCAGGGAAGGAAATAAGAAAGCCTTGATCACGGAATTTATCCCTAAAGACAGTGATGGAATTACTATGAAAGTGGGATTATTGATAGATCACTTATGATTTAAAGTATGATATCTACACGGACAAAATCGCAGGCAAAAGCTAGTTAATATATAACTATTAATAAACATTATTATTATTTAGCAGGGAAGCAGATAAAACAACTGATATAAGCATGTATCCTGATTCCAAGTCTATAGTTGTTCTAGTTGTTATTACTGGTACAAATGCATTACACCATCTGCTACATTGATTCATAAACAAGAATAGATGTTGGTGTCTATGTTCCACAGCATCCACATACCAACACATGAACTGTCATTTGAAACCTGAACTTGTAGAAACAAAATAAAAATAAATAATTATTTTTCGAACCTTGCTTAAAATTCCACAAATATTATAGTAGCGTTCCTTTAAATCTTCCACACTTCTGTCTCTGAAGGCAGCGCGGTCCCATCTGTCGTGGATAACAATGAATCGCAGATCAAAACGTTGGCACAAATCCATTAGATGGTCAGTTTCTGCTTGACTCCAGTCTTCTGATTTTAAATACTGATTGTATTCAGATTCTGAGTATGATGGTATTGACACTTGCTGAAATATTTTAATTAGAAAAATATTCCATTAATCTATACTTATAATGAAATCTGAAGTATTAAAAGTAATTATCTCTAGGTTTACTAGATCACAGTTTTTTTGCTGTTTATCAAATAGCTGCTGCCCATCTTCGGTCACAGTTTCTCTCTGACACTTCTTACCCACCCATATATTTACCACCCACGGGAAGATATGGAGTAGTGGGTATTCTTACCCGCCACTACACTACACGGATTAGTAAGCTGAAGTGGCAATGGGCCGGCCATACAGCTCGAAGAACCAACAACCGATGGGGAAAAAAAGTTCTTGAGTGGCAGCCTCGTACTGGTACGCGAAATGTAGGGCATTCCTCTACTAGATGGAGTGACGACGGTCGATAGATACAGGTGGCTTAGGACCATGCTTTGTGACATTCCTTGGGAGACGCCTATGTTCAGCAGTGGACTTGTAAAGGATTGTATTGATGATGATTAGATCGTAGGACTCCTTTTTCTAGGAGTTTGTCTTGGTAGATACCACTGTTTTAACTTTTTCCGCCGTCAAATAGCAGTGTGTGCACTGCTGTGTTAAAGTCTAAAGAGTCTGGAGAACCAGTATAATTGGACGTAGTTGTGCAAAGATCCAACCCGCGATAAGTTAATTTGGGTTTATGATATTTGAAGTATCCATACTTCAAATATCATAAACTCAAATTATCTGTATGGTTTCTGTCTGTTTGTAATTATTCTTCTTATTTGTGTTACGTTTGTTAAAATTGTTACATCACATAATAGTATAGACCACAAACATTCTTCAAGTTAACATTTTTGACACAAACTCGGGTTGGATCCTTTTTACATAACCAAATCCAATTAAAAGCTTTGAGCCATTCCATCTTATGTCCTCAGAGGTTGCATCTGTAGCCTTCTTTGTTTGAAGTTGGTTACACGTGGTGCATGGGCTGCAGTAGTCACTTACCATCAGTCCACCCAATTTGTACCAGTAAGTTCCTTCGTTATTTCAATTTAAAAGAAAAGAAAACATAAATTAAAAACTTAAATTGCTGCAAAAATAAAGTAGTGAGGGTTAACTGTTGAATTGACTTACTTTATTAAATTGTGCAAAAGGGTATTCCTTAGTTTCATCTGACTTTCTTTTCCAATGGTAAAACACTGCATTGTCTTTGCGGGCAGGATTAGTAAACGGAGCCCAAACCCATTTCCTCGCTTTACGCATTCCAAGTTTTGCTTTTGTTTGCTTATATGCTTTACCTATAAACAATATAAAGTTCCTTTTTTTAAATGGAAAATTAAATAAAAATGAAACACTAAAAAACTAAACTAAATTATTTTGCATGGTAGAGCCATGCTGCAGCTATATTACTGGTATAGTTATTGCATGAATGGGTCGGCTCAACTGGGGAAGGACCACACTCTCACAGAATACCAGCGTAAAACAACAGCATAACTCTGCTGTTTCGTATGGTGAGTGTAGAGAACTGGAGACCCTTTTTTACTGGAAACGAGGCATTCCATCTTAGTCCTCACGGGTGACTATGCATCTGCATTATGATTTGTAATTGAGGATAGATGTAGATGTCTAAGGGCCACAGCAACCACTTACTATCAGGTGGACTGTGTGCTCGTTTGTCACCCTAATTTTATAAAAAAAAACTAAAAACATTTGTCAAGTAATTTAATAAAATATTTAGTAATATTTTCCCTATTTTTTACTTTATAAGGATCTTTTTAAATATGATTTTAAAAATGATTATTTATGTCTTGATAGCATGCAAATAAATTCCTGAGTTTAATAGATCCAACCATGTTGTCCTTCGGTTTGTAATAGAGATGTATACAAATAAATTAATAGCACTTGATTTTGCATCACAGTTATTTTCGGATAGTATTACTTATGTAAGAAATATTTTAAAGTATATTTTTAAGAAAAAATAATATTTTGATTTTGGGTAAAAGATATTGATATTAATTATTTTATTATAGCTTTTAATATTAAAAAAATTAATTCAATGAACATACCAGTATCTGTGGGTAATAGGGGAGGCAAATCTTTATTATCATTATATAGCAAGGCGAAAACTTCACGGTGCATGCCTTCAGGCCTTCGAACAGCTTTAGCAGTAACATACTTCTTTTTCATTTTATCTCCATGTAAAATGCTGTCTCTAGTGACTTCAGTAGTTCCCGGTTGTTCAATATCTAGAATATCCAGAATATCTGCCATTTTGAAGGTACACCTGTATTGGTTGCTCTATTACTTTTATAGTAATGCGTAGATTCTCTTAATTTAAATGTTAATTATTCAGTTGTTAAGAAAATCAACCCTTACTTCAACTCCAAATCTAAATATTTTCAACTTTCTAGCCAAAATGTCAAATTGAAATTGTCAAACAAACCATAGTTTTTTTTTATAACTGGCTTTACGCCTCTGGGTTCTAGCCCTTCTTAACCTGAAGTTACAATGTATAATTGGACGTAGTTATGCAAAAAGGATCCAACCCGCGATAAGTTAATTTGAGTTTATGATATTTATTATATTATATTTTATAAACTCAAATTATCGGTATGGTTTCTGTCTATTTGTAATTTTTCTTCTTATTTGTGTTATGTTAGCTAAAATTGTTACATCATATAATAGTATAGATCACAAACATTATTTTTCAAGTCAACATTTTTGACACAAACTCGGGTTAGATCCTTTTTGCATAACCACGTCCAATTATTCTTCATAGTACACTGCTTCACAATATGTTGATGCGTCACATTGTGCAGCCCCTGGGAGATTTTGACGGTAACTTGAGCCAGCAGACAGCTGACAGTTGGCGATGGTATCTCAAGGCGCCTAAGCAGACAGACACTTGTTTCACCGTTTCCATGCGCAGACAACGAACCATAGACCGTACCATACATCTAGGAGTAATAGTGACCCCCCCCCCCCCCCTCTTCTCCAGCCTATGAATTTGGAGTAGTAGTAATTAATATTTCTGAGATATGCTATTTAAAATATGTCGGTCAATATTTATATATATATATTAATTATTTGACATGCACCCATGTAGTTTAGAAATAAAAAATAGTTAAAGATCGCTCACCTTATAACGTCGATATAACATCAAATAATTAGAATTGGGTACTTTTGCAATATGAAAAAAACTGCACCCTGCTCAAATATAACCACAACTATTATAAATAAATAAAATGCAATATTAAGTGCAAAAACCACATTTGTTAAGTGTCAAATGCACACGGAGCATGGCGCGGCGCGGCGTTTAAATGTATAGTATAAGGTTATATGTATAGTATAAGTTTTCTTTATGGGCTAATTAGCAGTAAGTTTACGCAGATCATTTTTTTTTTGGAAAACTAGCTGATACCCACGACTTCGTTTTTAAAACTTCAATGACTTCATATTAAATAAAGATAACGCAATATTTTTTTTACACAAGGGTCAAGTCATCAAGTGTCTAAGAAATAAAACTTAGAAAACCTAATTGAAATATATCCAGTAGTTTTTCCGTGATGCGCGCACAACTGCGAACCTCTATCATTTCATTTATATAAATAGATGTGTAAGGAGTTAACTTATAAACGTCCCTCTTATTAAATTAAAACAAAAACAATAAGCAAAGAGTAATATGGAAATCTCAAATTTATTTTAGTTTGAGTAGTACTATTATTTATTCTGTGGTTTGAGTGACAAGAGTAGGTACCTACTCATCAAGTTGACAATAGATACAAAGGCCGGCCACATACATGCGGAATTTTGTTTCGTGATTCCATTTTGGAATCCCGACTCGTACATCACACACATACGTTTATTTCCGTTCGGAATTACAAGGATTAGTTAAAATACATTAGCCATTGAGTCTAGAAATTCTGCTAGCGAATAATGACAACGATTTTCTGATTGCGATTCCATTGTTGTTGTATTATTATTACTGGGTGCATCCCCTTATCACCCTAAGCTTACAATATAGTCAATATTATGTAAAAAGATCTATCTATCCAGAGATTTTTTTTTAAATATGGATGTCTGTAAACACTTGACGAATTATTAAACAAAATAAGATGAAATGTTACGAAAAGCTATACACATATGAGATTAAATGTGAAAACGTACATAAACACACCTAATCGCTTCGGCCGTACGACGAACACTGAGCGCGTTCCGTATAGAATTTACGAATGTGAACTTGACGTGAAGAAGAATTGCGTTCGGAGTGGCTTTTTTCCGGAGAAAATTCCGTACGGAAAATTACTGTACGTGTGTGGCGGGTCCTTGATTTTATATAGACTTGCTTCGTTCGGAATTCCGAATCAGAATTATGAAACGTAATCGCGAAATGGAATTCCGTACGTTTGGGTCGGCCTTATACAATGTATGGAGGGCACAGACTAATGCTTACGCATCAGACAGATACCTGAATCTAGCCCCACTTGGATTTTACTACATGGGTGCAGTTTAAATAATTAATATTTTTGAGATGAGCTAGTAAGTCTTATAGTATTTTTTATAATTATATATACTCCAAATTAATAATAGGTAGGGGTTTGGGCCATAAGTAGGCTGGGGTTTGGCGGTGCATTCGGCACTTAATAACCTGTTTCACTTAAAAACTGGTTTTATTAACTTTTTGCAGTTAATATTGAATTATATGCATTTTAAACGAACTGTACCTTGCTCGAACAAAATTGCACAATTATGTTCGAGCAAAGTGTAGTTTTATCACATTGCAAAAATTACCCAATTCTAATTACTCGAAGTAATTGCGAGGTTATAAAGTGACCGATTTTTAACTATTTTATTATTTATATATATATATATATATATATATATATATATATATATATATATATATTGTATATCTCTCTCAGTATCCTTATGTACTTGCTTTCTATACCTTGTTCTTTTAGGGCCTGCCATATCTTATTGTGAAATAAAGAGTCGAAAGCCTTGCTGTAGTCTATATATGCCATGTAATATAATTGGTTGTATTCATGGGATTTTTCTATAATCTGCCTCATAACATGTATGTGGTCCAATACTGAGTACCCTCTACGAAAACCTGCTTGCTCGTTTGGTTGGTTGTCATCTAATTTTCTTTCGAGTCTTCTTAGCAGTATTTTCGCAAATATTTTGTATAAGTTGGACATAAGGCTGATCGGGCGATAATTACCTATATTAAGTTTATCACCCTTTTTATATAACAATACTATATTTGATTGCGTCCATTGTATCGGGATAACTTCGTTTGCGAAAATTTCATTAAATAGTTTCGTGATAACTGGTAACAGGACATTTTTTGCCATTAATAGGATTTCATTTTCAATGCCATCTGGCCCTGGGGCTTTGTCTTTACTTTGGGACTGTAATGCTACTTCTACCTCTCGTTGCAGTATATAGGGTATGCTCTCATCCTCATCATCGTTTAGTACTATTACTTCGCCAGGTTCTTCTTGTGTGTTCTCATATAATTGTTTATAGTATGATGTAGCAATATCTTTTATGTCTGATCTTCTATTTTGTTCTATTCCTTTCTCATTTCTAACTTTTGTGACCCAATCTTTTGATTCTGACAGTTCTTTATATGCTTTTTTTGTTCCTCCTGTTCTAATGATTTGCTCTTCTATTTTTTTTCTTCTGTTTTGTTTTCTATCCCTTCTCATACTCTGTTTTATATCTTTACTCAGCTCTGATATGCGTTTTCTACGATTCTCTGTGTCTCTGGAACTGATTACTTGTTTCCTTGCTTCGAGTAGATTTTTTGTTTTTATTGATAAATAGCTTTTCTTCTTTTCTTTATTAGTGCAGGTACTTTTTGCTAGTTTGATTGAAGTCTCAAACCAGTCGTATTTCTGTTGAATATCTAGGTTCTTGGTTTCTTTCTCAAAGTCTGCAAATCTTTCGGTCAGTTTATTTGCAGCTTCTTTTAGGTTTTGAATACTCAACTTACCAACAAAGTGCCTCCTGGGTCTTTGTGTCTTTATATGTCGTAGTGTGAGATCTGCCCTGACCATTCTATGGTTCGTGTTGAAATTAAATTTGTTCACAACATTTAAATCGGTGAAACACATTGGTTTGTTGGTGAGAACAAAGTCAATCTCATTTTTGTATTTGCCTCCTGGTGATACCCATGTCCATTTCCTTGAACCTTTCTTTTTAAATTTGCTGTTTAGAATATAGAGGTTGTTTTCGAAAGACATATTAATGAGTCTTTCTCCATTTTTGCTTCGTCGAGTTCCATATGTAAAAGGTCCGAGAACACGTCTTTCTTCTGGCAAGCTTTCACCTGTCTGGCCGTTGAAGTCTCCCATCACTATTAAGTTTTTGTGCGTATGTCTCTCTATAGTACTGTTTAGATTCTCATAGAATTCTTCAATTGTCTTTTTGTCTGCTTGTTCAGTTGGAGAGTACACTTGCACAATAGACCACATATCTTCGTAATTGGGTAATTTTATATTTAGCACTGCTAAACGGTCCGAAATTCCTATGAACTCATCAACATATTGTATCATGTGCTTTTTGAGAATAAATCCTACCCCATTTTGGCCTTCTTTTTCGCCTATGTGATATAGAAGGAAGTCCTCGTATTCTTGTATGTTTTCTCCAGCTCGTCTTACTTCACTCAGACCCAGAATGTCCCATTTGATATCATTTAGTGCTTTACTTAGTTCTGTTAGACTCTCGTCCGACTTTAGGGTTAGAACATTAAGTGCTGCAATTTGGATACTTTCTTTAAAGGGGGCATTACATTTATCTTTGTTGTTAATGTTGTTGTTTTCTAGTGTATGTTTGTTTAGAAGTGTATGTTTGTTTGGTTTTTTTGAGATTGGTGGGTGGTGGTCTAATTCCCCACGGGGACCAGCCGGGTTGGGGAATGTTAATTTTGGTGGTATTCGTTGTTTTACTGTTTCCATTTCGACTACCGCCTATTTCTAGTTTTTTGATGTCTCCTCTATATTCGCTTTCGATTGGCTTCTCATTCTTTCTGCTGGGTTGATTCTCGACATTTTAGCAAGTTGGTATAACTTGGGTTCTCCAGGGGCTTTGCTGAAGTTGTCCGGGGGAGTAGAAGGTGGGGTGGATTGGGCTCTCTTCCTCTTTTCAGGTTCCATTTTGTCTCGTATTATTAGTTTGCCATTCCTTATTATTGCATACTTTCCAGATGCTCTGGCTTCCTTCATTTTTGGGATAAGAGCCTTTCTTTCTTCCAGTTCCTCTTT